TGTGTCGAGTGGGGTTCCACAAGGCTCAGTCCTAGGTCGGGTGCTCTTTCTTGCATATGTGAATGACATGACGGAAGCGATAGTATCAGAGGTGTCCTTGATGTGAGTGATGTGAAGATGTGAAACTAATAAGGACAATACAAGAAGACGAGGATCAGGTAAGCCTACAAGGGAATCTGGACAGGATGCAAGCCTGGTCCGACAAATGGCTCCTGGAGTTTAATACTTGCAAGTGCAAAGTTATGAAGCTTTGGGAAGGACAAAGAAGATCGCAGACGTAGTACAGCGTGAAAGGTCAGAGGCTGCAAAACTCACTCAAGGTAAAGGATCTTGGGGTGAGCATCATATCGAGCACATCTCCTGAGGCGCACATCAACCCAATAACTCTGCAGCATACTGGCGCCTAGCAATCCTGAGAATAGCGTTTCGACATCTAAGTAAGAAATCATTCATGACACTGTACACCGTGTATGTCAGGCCCATATTGGAGTATGCAGCACCGGTATGGAACCCACACCTGGTCAAACACATCAAGAAATTAGAAAAAGTGCAAAGGTTTGCAACAAGATTAGTCCCGGAGTTGAGAAATAAACCAAACATTGTAACCACAAATCTTACTAAATGTCTAGAAGGTAAATACACACAGATTTAAATAAATAGGATGTGAAAACATGCAACTGTATTAAGTTTTACAACCTGCAGGAACTGTATTACTGTAGACAACAAGAGCATTTCATCCCTCCATGGAAGTTACGTTCATTTAATATCACACACCTGGAAAACCCTTCCCAACAACCTCATCACTTGTAATCCTTTCCATGAAGCACTTACAAAGGCAACTGCTCAGGGAGAAATTCCTTGCTTAACTGTTAGTAATAATATATCATAAATTATTATACATTGATGGATCTAAGCAGGTGTCTACTGGCAGAGCTGCGACTGTTCTTGTTGCCACCTCCCTTGATAAGAACGATGGGAACTATGTTGAACTAGGCTTAGAAATTAACTACTAGGCGTATACACTGCAGTCATCCTAGTGACATCAAAGTTAATTTATGACACGAGCTTGACTCTGATTGTTACTGATTATGTCATCACTGAAGGCTCTTGACTTGCATCATGACTTTAACAACATGTTCTTTGGAGAAACCATATATACTCGAAAAATCAGAGGAAAAGGAATTAATATACATTTTTTATGAATTCCCTCGCAAACTATATTTCTTCTTCAAGAGAGGCTTGAGAAGTTAGTCAAGAATCCTTAAGGAAAATGTAGAATATAACTGTGTCTAGCATTTGGAATGATAAAATGAGAGAAGTAAATAATGAAACTAAATTTTAAATAGGAATGCAGTTAGAACGCCCAGAGTAGATTATTTTCACTTTGATTTCGAACTCAATAAGCATGAATAAACAGTTGTTTATTACGACTTCAGCCGAGTTCTCAGATAAGTACGTTTATGGAGCAATTTGCAATGTGAATAGACTGATTAATGTGGGCAACGACCAGGTTTTGTTTGGCTCAAGTACTTTGCAGTTTGGGAGACATGTTGCGACTATGTAAAGTATATAGTCAGCTTTACGGTCCTTTCTTGACACTAAGTGCTTAATTGTCAAGGTATTAAGAAATCTGAGATATACAGTATAATAATTCTATAATGTTTCATGGAATCTTAATTAAAAGATATCAAAGTTATTAAACAAATATCCTCGGTTTGTAACAGATAAAGTAACTGTAGATATAAACACACATGAACTCCTCTAAACCCTTCGGAGGCCTAGTTCCTAGGATTGTTTTGTGTCCACAGGCTCTTGCGCTAGCGCCCACAGGATAGATATGGGGTTAACAATAAATTAGCTGCATCGACGGCAAAAATCTAGTCCTTTCTCACCATAACTCAGCAAACTAATTTAACCCGACTCAGCACAACTTAACACTAACTTAAAGCACCCTAACTCATCCAAATCCTCTCCAACCCTATCTCATCCTTACCCATCCCTTCCCTAACCCAGCTTAACCCTAACCCATCTCTAAACCAAACCAACGTAACCTTAACTAAGCCTAACCAAACCCAACTCTAACTCAGATCAACCCACCCCTAACTCAGATCAACCCAACTCCAATTCAGCTCAATGCATCTCAACCCTATATCAACCTAGCCAAGCCAACCCAACCCTACCTTACTAAGCCGAATCCAACCTCAACCAATCCAATCCTAACTCAGTCCAACCCACGCTAACGTAGCCTAATCATTCCCAATCTTAACTCAGCCTAACCTAACCCAACCTTAACTTAACCAAACCCTAACTCAACTCAATCCAACCTCAACCCAACTCAACCCAACCCAATCCAAACTTAACCTAATCCTACCAATCCTAAGTCAGCCTAACCAACCTTTATTCAGCCTAACTAACTCAACCCTAACTTAGCCTAGTCCAATCCAACCCTAACTTAGCAAAACCCAACCCAATCCTAACTTAGCTTAACCCAATCCAATCCTAACTTAACCTAATCCAACCCTAACTTTGCCTAACCAACCCAACCCTTATTTATTCTAACCCAACCCAACCCTAACTTAGCCTAACCCAACCCAACCCTAACTTAGCCTAATCCAAACCAACCTTAACTTAGCCTAACCCAATCCTAACTTAGCCTAACCCAACCCAATTCAAACACAGCTTAATTCAACCCAATCCTAAGTCAGCCTAACCAACCTTTACTCAGCCTAACCAACTCAACCCTAACTTAGCTTAATCCACTCCAACCCTAACTTAGCCTAATCCAACCCAACCCCAACTTAACCTAATCCAACTCTACCCTAACTTAGCCTAACCCAACCAAACCCAATCCTAACTTAGCTTAACCCAACCCAATTCTAACTCTGACTAACTCAGTCTTATCTTTGCCTAACCTAACCTTATCCTAACTTAGCCCAACCCAACCTAACCCTAACTTAGCCTAATCCAACCAAACCCTAACTTAGCCTAACCCAACCCAATCCAAACTTAGCCTAATCCAACCCAATCCTAACTTAGGTTAACCCAACCCAAACCTAACTTAGCCTAACCCAACCAACCTTAACTTAGCCTAATGCAACCCAACCCTAACTTAGCCTAACCCAACCAAATCCAATCCAAACATAGCTTAATCCAACCCAATCCTAAGTCAGCCTAACCAACCCTTACTAAGCTTGACCAGCTCAACCCTAACTTAGCTTAATCCACTCCAACCTAACTTAGCCTAGTCCAACCCAACCTAACTTAGCCTAATCCAACCCAACCCTAACTCAGCCCAACCCAACCCTAACTTAGCCTAATCCAACCAAACCCTAACTTAGCCTAATCCAACCCAACCCTAACTTAGCGTAATCCAACCCAACCCTAACTTAGCCTAACCCAATCCTACACTTAGCCTAACCCAACCAAACCAATCCTAACTTAGCCTAACCCAACCTAGCCTCTAACTTAGCCCAACCAACCTTAATTAGCCTAATCCAACCAAACCTACTAGCCTAACCCAACCCAATCCAAACTTAGCTTAATCCGAACCCAACCTTAACTTAGCCTAATCCAACCCAACCCTAACTTAGCCTAACCCAATCCTAACTTAGCCTAACCCAACCAAACCCAATCCTAACTTAGCCTAACCCAACCCAGCCCTAACTTAGCCCAACCCAACCTTAACTTAGCCTAATCCAACCAAACCCTAACTTAGCCTAACCCAACCCAATCCTAACTTAGCCTAACCAACCCAACCTAACTTAGCCTAATCCAACCCAACCTTAACTTAGCTAACCAACCCAACCCAACCTTAACTTAGCTAACCCAGCCAATCCTAACTTCAGCCTACTAACCCAACCAGCTAACCCAGTATCCTAGCTACCTAATAAGCCAACTAGCTAACCCAACCCAGCCCTAACTTAGCCCAACCCAACCTTAACTTAGCCTAATCCAACCAAACCCTAACTTAGCCTAACCCAACCCAATCCTAACTTAGCCTAACCAACCCAATCCTAACTCTGCCTAACCCAACCCAACCTTAACTTAGCCTAACCCAACCCAACCTTAACTTAGTCTAACCCAACCCAATCCTAATTCAGCCTAACCTAACCCAACCCAGCTTAACCCAGTTCATCCTAGCCTTACCTAACTAAAGCCAACCTAGCCTAACCCAACCCAACCCTACTCAGCGTAGTCCAACCCAACCCTACTTAGCCTAGCCCAATCCAGCCCAACCAAACTCAACTCAGCCAAACTCTATCCAACCCGTCTCTGCCTAACCCAACGCAATCTAACTCACCCGAACCCAATTCTTCTTGGCCTAACCCAACCCAATTCGGCCTAACTCAACCCAACCTAACCCGACTCGGCTTAACCCGACTAAACCTAACCCAACCCAGTTCAACCCAACCCTCATAACCAAATCGAACACAGCCACAATTCTGTCCAACACCAGACAACCCTGTCCACTACAACCCATGACAATTTCCTACCAGATTTTTCCAGATGAAATAGAGATTGATTATTTGTGTATTTATCTTGTTATTGATGAGGTGTTAGTATAGGTCAGAACACAGGACATGCAGAGCTTGATGAGTTGTGATGTAGAGGTGTCGTAGAGCATGTAGTGTGCTTGTGTGTGTTAGTGGGGTGTGTAAGAGAGCTGGCGTAAGGGTGTGTGCTGGCCCCCACTAGAGTAAGGCTGCTGCTGCCCAAAATACCCCTTGGGTGTTGGTGCCACTGAGGTCCCCAGAACCAGAGGTCAACGGGAGCCCTCCTTTCGACTCAGCTTACATTAAAATTAGTGGATTATTTCATCGCGTTCCATCGCTTCCCGTTTATTTAAACAATGCTACGCGTCATCTGGAGGTTAAAGTGATGCTTTAGCCTGGTGATAGTGTATGTGTGGGTGGCGGTGGGGTGGTGTGGAGTGGTGAGTGGTGGCAGCTTGGGGTGGTGCGCTTGCGTTGATCTGTTCTAGCTGGGCTGCGCGCCCCCTCCACCATTTGGTGGCTCGCTGTGTGTGGAGTGAGACGTGTGGTCCCGGCCCGTGATAGTGCGACAGTGGAAGTCGTCATGACGAGAGTCAACCTCTGATCCCTAAACAATTTCTTTTCCTCCTCTTCTGTGTCCAGTGTCTGTGAGGTGTGGTGATAGCTTGTCCTACCGGCACCATGGTTGAAAACAGAGCTAACTGCTCTCCCCGCTGGGGAATGCGTTTATTAGGTCTGAGTGTTTTAGTGCTTACCCTTTGCAGTCCGGTCTCTGCTACTGAAGGTAACGAAACTGACGACATCTTTGGAAAATGTATTGATGGTCTCTTAGTCCCGCTATGGTCACCACAAGAAAATCTAACTACTGGAGACCGCGTGGCTCGAGCTATCGTCTACTTCGTGGCCATGGTGTGGCTTTTTATTGGTGTGTCCATCATAGCTGATCGTTTCATGGGTTCCATTGAAATGATCACTTCACAAGAGAAGGAAGTTACCGTGAAAAAACCAAATGGTGAGACGCAGATCATCGTAGTACAAGTATGGAACGAAACTGTAGCCAACCTCACCCTCATGGCTCTGGGTTCCTCGGCTCCCGAAATTTTGCTGTCTGTTGTTGAAATGTTCGCCAGGAATTTCGAAGCTGGAGACCTCGGTCCCGGAACCATTGTCGGTTCCGCTGCCTTTAATCTGTTTGTCATCATCGGTATTTGCGTTTATGTGATTCCTGATGGAGAGGTGAGACACATCAAGCATCTTCGAGTGTTCTTCGTTACAGCCTTCTTCTCCATATTTGCTTATATCTGGCTATATTTAATTCTTGCTGAAATCTCATACGGTATTGTGGAGTTCTGGGAAGCTTTTCTGACTTTCCTTTTCTTCCCCATTACTGTTATTCTTGCTTACATCGCTGATCGTCGTCTTCTGTTCTACAAATATCTGACAAAAGAATACCGTATGGGAAAGCGTGGAGTTATTATCGAAGTAGAAGGCGCTGATGTCGAGTTAGGCAAGAAGGATGAAGGAGGGCCACTTTATGACGAAAATGTGGACGAGTCTGTTAGGGAATTTGAGGAACATCGAAAAGAATATATGGCAGTCATCCGTGAGCTTCGTCAAAAACATCCTAACATCGCCATGGAAAACCTAGAATCTATGGCCCGCGAAGAAATTATTAACCGAGGTCCCAAGTCTCGCGCCTTCTACCGTATTCAGGCCACAAGGAAGCTGACCGGCGGAGGTAACATCATGAAGAAAGCAAGGGAGGAAGTTAAGGTGGAAAAGGAGGATGAGTTTGTAGACAAGAAAGATGAAGACATTATCCGCATTTTCTTCGATCCTGGCCATTACACTGTAATGGAAAACGTGGGTACCTTCGAAGTGACAGTTGTCCGAGAAGGAGGAGACCTCAATACCACCGTTCTTGTTGACTACAAAACTGAAGATGGCACTGCAAATGCTGGTGGCGATTACGTAGCTGCTGATGGTACGCTGGTCTTCTTGCCTGGCGAAACCCAGAAGAACTTTAGCCTTGAAGTTATTGATGACGAAGTCTTCGAGGAGGATGAACACTTCTACATTCGACTCTCTAACATGCGCCTGGGTTCTCCTGACGGTACTGCTGTGACCCACGCCATCAATGGTGCTGCTGGCCAACCCAAAGAACCCGTCAAGATGGAACTGGCAGCTCCATATGTTGCTACTATTATGATCCTCGACGATGATCACGGTGGCATCTTCAACGTCAGCGAGAAAGACGTAGAAATTGTGGAGACCATTGGTACATACGAACTGAAGATTGTGCGTTGGTCTGGTGCCCGAGGCCGAGTAACTGTGCCTTACAAGACTGAGGACGGTACAGCCAAGGCCGGAAAGGACTACGAGGCAACGGAAGGCGAACTTGTCTTTGAAAACAACGAAACTGAGTAAGTAACAGAACATGTTGTTTTACTCCCACTTGCTCTTCTACCAATGGTATTTCTAACACTGGGGGTCATTTGCCAGATTAATTAACGTTTTAATTCTTACAACCGGTAAACCACACCCACTTTTATCATTCTCTCTCTCTCTTTCTTTCCCCCCCCCACACACACACACACGAACTCGCGCGTGTACACACACACACTTACTGGCACACTTTTATTCACACACGTAATTTTACTTTCAGTCTCACACGCTCAAACACTTGCATTCACACACATTCACTCACACATTCTATCACTCTCACGCATTAGCTGACACTCTCACCTACCCCTCACACTCTCTCATGCACAGGCTCTCACATACCCCTCACACACTCACACGCTCTCACTCTCATGAACACACTCTCACATACCCTCTCATACACACTCATGCACACGCTCTTACATACCCCTAACACACGCTCTCACACACTCTCATGCACACGCTCTCACATACCTCTCACACACACACTCCTGCACACCCTCTCACATACTTCTCACACACACTCACACCCTCTCACACTCTCATGCACAGGCTCTCACTCACTCTCATACACAGGCTCTCACTCACTCTCATGCACAGGCTCTCACTCTCATACACAAACTCTCACTCACTCTCATTCACAGGCTCTCACTCACTCTCATGCACAGGCTCTCACTCTCATGCACAGGTTCTCACTCTCATGCACAGGCTCTCACTCACTCTCATGCACAGGCTCTCACTCAATCTCATACACAGACTCTCACTCTCATGCACAGGCTCTCACTCACTCTCATGCACAGGCTCTCACTCACTCTCATACACAGACTCTCACTCTCATGCACAGGCTCTCACTCACTCTCATGCACAGGTTCTCACTCTCATGCACAGGCTCTCACTTTCATACACAGACTCTCACTCACTCTCATTCACAGGCTCTCACTCACTCTCATGCACAGGCTCTCACTCACTCTCATGCACAGGTTCTCACTCTCATGCACAGGCTCTCACTCACTCTCATGCACAGGCTCTCACTCACTCTCATGCACAGGCTCTCACTCACTCTCATGCACAGGCTCTCACTCTCATGCACAGGCTCTCACTCACTCTCATGCACAGGCTCTCACTCACTCTCATGCACAGGCTCTCACTCACTCTCATGCACAGGCTCTCACTCTCATGCACAGGCTCTCACTCTTCATGCACAGGCTCTCATCACTCTCATGCACAGGCTCTCACTCACTCTCATGCACAGGCTCTCACTCACTCTCATGCACAGGCTCTCACTCTCATGCACAGGCTCTCACTCTCATGCACAGGCTCTCACTCACTCTCATGCACAGGCTCTCACTCTCATGCACAGGCTCTCACTCTCATGCACAGGTTCTCACTCATGCACAGGCTCTCACTCATGCACAGGCTCTCACTCATGCACAGGCTCTCACTCATGCACAGGCTCTCACTCACTCTCATGCACAGGTTCTCACTCTCATGCACAGGCTCTCACTCATGCACAGGCTCTCACTCATGCACAGGCTCTCACTCACTCTCATGCACAGGTTCTCACTCTCATGCACAGGCTCTCACTCATGCACAGGCTCTCACTCATGCACAGGCTCTCACTCACTCTTATGCACAGGTTCTCACTCACTCTCATGCACAGGCTCTCACTCACTCTCATGCACAGGCTCTCACTCTCATGCACAGGCTCTCACTCTCATGCACAGGCTCTCACTCATGCACAGGCTCCACTCAGCACAGGCTCTCACTCATCTTTGCACAGGTTCTCATCACGTTCAGCAAGGCTCTCACTCACTTATGCACAGGCTCTCACTCTCATGCACGGCTTACTCTAGAGAGGCATCTCATCACACTGCTCACTCATGCAAGAAGCTCACTCTCATAGGAACAACAAACTGTCTTAGTTATTACACTAGCAAAGTTTTCCTATTTATTGAATCTTGATGCGCTGATACCAGAGGGAGGTGATGTCAGTACCACTGATACCAGAAGAACGACTCACTACCTCTGATACCAGATGGAAGAGTCATTACCACTGAAACCAGAGAGTGGAGACACTACCACTGATACCAGAGAGAGGAGTCACTATCACTGATACCAGAGGGAGGACTCAGTACCACTGATACCAGAGGGAGGACTCAGTACACTGATACCAGAGGGAGGACTCAGTACCACTGATACCAGAGAGAGGAGTCACTATCACTGATACCAGAGGGAGGACTCAGTACCACTGATACCAGAGGGAGGACTCAGTACCACTGATACCAGAGGGAGGACTCAGTACCACTGATACCAGAGGGAGGACTCAGTACCACTGATACCAGAGGGAGGACTCAGTACACTGATACCAGAGGGAGGACTCAGTACCACTGATACCAGAGGGAGGACTCAGTACCTCTGATACCAGAGGGAGGACTCAGTACCACTGATACCAGAGGGAGGACTCAGTACCACTGATACCAGAGGGAGGACTCAGTACCACTGATACCAGAGGGAGGACTCAGTACCTCTGATACCAGAGGGAGGACTCAGTACCACTGATACCAGAGGAGGACTCAGTACCACTGATACCAAGGGAGGACTCAGTACCCACTGATACCAGAGGGAGACTCAGTACCACTGATACCAGAGGGGACTCAGTACCACTGATACCAGAGGGAGGACTCAGTACCACTGATACCAGAGGGAGGACTCAGTACCACTGATACCAGAGGGAGGACTCAGTAAGTGCACAATAACATCCCACTTTAATCTAGCGAGAAAAAAAAATGATCATAAAATCCAGAATTTTATTTATCATCTCTAACTTTTCCCTCACTTAATGTACTAACACTCGTTAAATGGTCACAAAAATATGGTTAACAGAAGGGGTAAAACGACGTTTCTCTCTAAATAGTGTTTTTACAGAGCGAAACGTTTGTAAATATTTGCTATGCATATATCATATTTCTGCTGTATATGTTGGCAAGGTTTGTTATCCAAATACAATGGATAATTTGAGTAATTGTAGTCGAAAAGTTTAAATTTTCGAAAAATTATTTATAAAAAAGTGACAACACTGCGAAATATTAAGATTTTCCAGGTTAAAAAAAAATATATTCAAAAAAATATTCCCCCCCCCCCAAAAAAAAAACACAGAAAATACCTCAAAATATAATTTTTTTTAACTGAAAAACTAAGAAAATCTTGAAAACAATGTGAAAATACAGCCAGATATCACTTTTTTCCTTTATATAAAAATTAATATTTTCCTCATTATTAATTTTGGATTTATGTTATATTATAAACTATGTGTCACTGGTAACTTTAAACTAGCAAAGTTTGACATCAGGAACATCACTTAGCATGAGAATCTTAGAGTCAACCTAATTAAAGCTATGCATGGTACTTGCCTCCACTACCTCACTTTCCAGGCTATTCTACTTCTGACAATTCTATGACTGAAGAAATACTTTCTAACATCCCTGTGGTTCATCTGAGTCTTCAATTTTCAATTGCGACCCCTTGTTGCTGTGTCCCATCTCTGGAACATCCTGTCTCTCTCGTTTTTTTTTGTGTGTGTGATGTAAATTTGCCAAGTGTGTACCATCTGTGGTGAATGCTAGTTGTGGTGTGTACCATCTGTGGTCTGTGCCAGTTGTGGTGTGTACCATCTGTGGTGTATGCCAGTTGTGGTGTGTACCATCTGTGGTCTGTGCCAGTTGTGGTGTGTACCATCTGTGGTGTGTGCCAGTTGTTGTGTGTACCATCTGTGGTGTGGGCCAGTTGTGGTGTGTACCATCTGTGGTGTGTGTGTCAGTTGTGGTGTGCACCATCTGTGGTGTGAGCCAGTTGTTGTGTACCATCTGTGGTCTGTTCCAGTTTTGGTGTGTACCATCTGTGGTGTGTCCCATCTGTGGTGTGTACCATCTGTGGTGTGTACTATCTGTGCAGTGTTCTATGTATTGTGGTCCACCTGTGTGGCGTACTCTGCCTGTATGTGCTATGTTCCATCTGTGTGAGGTGTTCAACCGGTGTGGCGTACCACCTGTGTGCTGTACCACCTGTGTGCTATACCACCTGTGTGCTGTACCACCTGTGTGCTATACCACCTGTGTGCTGTACCACCTGTGCACTGTACCACCTGCGTTCTCATTTGTAATCCTGGCCCCGCCTCTTAACTCTTTCCTACCGATTTTACTGATTTCTGACCTCCAGGGCCCGATCATATCTACACTAGAAGCTGTGTATATGATCTGCCTCATCTAATACCCTTCACGTGTCCAACACCATAAGTCTAAACATTCATATTCCTTAGCTGCCTGCCTCTCCATGCGCAACTGACAGCCTCTACCTACCCACTTTTATCCCATAAATATTTTTCATGCAGTAAATTTGTCTTCCCTGGTCTTCCACCCTTCTAGTGTTATAAGTCTGAGTTAGTCCTTGTACCTCATTCCCTCATTTGTACCACAAATGTCGTTGTAAATTTTATAATCTCCTGAAGGTTTTCCAAATTCTTATTTAGGTGTTGGTTCCATACAGGGTTTCCATGGGAGTAAGGTGCCATGGTTCATAATCCTCGAAGCTAGTTTTAGGTTAGCTAGTATTGCATGCGCCTCTGGAATTATAAGATTTGTGTGTGCTCCTGGTGATATGCTCGGTGCAATGCTAATTCCTCGATCTTTCATATTGTATGTTGTCTGTAGTTTATTTCCTAGTGGGTTGTATATTCCATGTTGACCAGTGTTTTGTACTCCAGGTGGATGAGGGCTGACGCACCCTCCCCGCCAGGCTGTAGTTGACTGCATACCTAAGGCTGTAGAGCATTGCTACACCCCACGCTGTAGATGACGGCTACACCCCATGTTGTAGAACACTGCTACACTCCAGGCTCTCGATGACAGTTACGCCCCAGGCTGTAGAGCACTGTTACACCCCAGGCTGTAGATAACAACTACATCTCAGGCAGTAGATGAAAGCC